AGTGTAGCTTACAAACAGTGAAAGAATTTTTCAAATCGGTTCAGTAGTTTCGGAGCCTATTCAATACAAACAAACAAATCTTTCCTCTTTATAATATCAGTATAGATAGCAAAAAAATACTTCAATAAATAATTGTATTTTTTGAAGTTTTTGCGAATCGTAGACATGTTTAAATATAATTTTGCGATAAGCTGTGAAGAATCCGAAACGTCGAAATCAGTATAATGATAACAAAGGCGAGGTTCAACCGTAGAAGTATTATAGTTTTATTTAATAAATATTCATGTCGTCTGATGCTAATAACTTTGATTATGTGTGTTTCTATTCTGAACTTAAAAATAACTGACCTTGTATTTTGAGTTCTAGACCTTAGATAAATTTAAGTTGAGTATTATTTTTAAGAAAAGTGTAACAGAGCGTATATTCTAGAAAAAATAGCATGAAAATTAGGTACCGAACTAGGTTTTTGTTCTAATTAATATGTATTAATTCAAGATGTCTCAGTCTGCACTGATAGAAGCCCGTATCCACAACTGAGTTTTTCGAAAAATTAGGGTTTCCAATTTCTCAGCTTTGAAGCGAAATTTTTTGATCAAGAATGATCTCTTCCTATACAACACGTACTAGTAGCTGCTCTGCACGCGTTTTATGCAAGAGCATCCGGGTGATGGAAGACCGGCTATCTTCGACCCACGCTGGTTCTGGTCCAGCTGGGTATTCCGTAGGATAGCTCACTCTAACCTGCTTCGAATAGCTGGGTTCGAATAGCCTGCCGACCGAGAGGGCTGGTGGTCGTGGCGCCGACGACCGCCGGTCCGGCGTCCCGAGGGGGAGGGTGATGGGAGAGATATGCTCCGCACTAAACGCTCCACTTTCCTCCCTTTGCCTCTTCATGAGTTCTGTCTCATGCGAGGTTTGGACGTTGGTTGTTGAGTGACAGGAGGTTTTAGTCAGTTCGACTCTGACATGCTCCGCCCTTCATCCCCAGTAGAGGGCGGAAGTCCGGCGATTTCCTCCTGACAAAAAAAAAATCGTACTAGTAATAATGTTTTCATCATGTAATCAAATAGATTATGTATTTATCAACTTGGTAAGTTCCTAAGCTTTTCATAATATAATCTATGTATCAATATATTATATTTGAAGTATGTTCCAGCTTATAAAATTTGCTTAGATTTTGAGGTATATGAAAATGTATAAGCTTTCAGTTTATAATACTATTTCCCCACGTAGAATATTCTGAGCAATCGTTGAATAAGTAACATGCCACTGATCATTTCCTGTAATACATAAATAAGTATCAAATATTATCTTAACATAAGGTATTTTGCATAGTGTCAAATACAACTAATATTAATTAAGTAAAAATTTCGAAATCGTCGTGGCCTAAAAGATAAGACGTCCGGTGCATTCGTGTTGAGCGATGCACCGGTGTTCGAATCTCTAGCGGGTACCAATTTTTGTAATGAAATACGTACTCAACAAATTATTTTCACGATTGACTTCCACGGTGAAGGAATAATATCGTTTAATAAAAATGATAGAGTCTGAGAAGAATGTGTGGTGACACCCTTCTCAGCAGTAGCTGCTTGAAAAACTTATCCACGTACAACAGCAGGAAATAGGTGGAGGGCCTTCGCCTATTCCTGCCGCGCTCAATACTTTGCAATAAACTACTCATTACTCAATCACAGTCTAAAGCAATTGCCAAATAATATCGATTGAATTGTTGAATTTTTTTTCAAGTTAGACCTCATGTTTTATGTAGGAGTTTTTGCTTTGAAANCAGCAGTAGCTGCTTGAAAAACTTATCCACGTACAACAGCAGGAAATAGGTGGAGGGCCTTCGCCTATTCCTGCCGCGCTCAATACTTTGCAATAAACTACTCATTACTCAATCACAGTCTAAAGCAATTGCCAAATAATATCGATTGAATTGTTGAATTTTTTTTCAAGTTAGACCTCATGTTTTATGTAGGAGTTTTTGCTTTGAAAAATTACCAGGCGTTAGTTGATTCTAAAACTAAAGCAAACTTACAACTCTAAGAATAAATAAATAATAGCTAAAAAAAACTAAAAATTCGCTTTTATAGAAAATCCAACTAAAAAACTAGAAAATAATTTTATTGTAATAAAAATCTTGAGGTGCGCTGTGTTAATAGCATAAATATTTTATTGACAGATATGAATAGAAGTCTTATCACTTTGATAATATCTTAAAAAGCGCCCCAATCTGTTTTTTTACAATAAATGGATTTTCAATTTTTTTGTTGGATTTTTTATAAAAGCTTGTTTTTTAGTTTTTTTTTAACTATTATTTATTTTTCATTTTTTAGTTTAAATAGTATTATGTATCATAAATTATTCATTAATGTACATTCAGGCAAATACAACTGTTTCCAATTTGCTAAGTGAAGAAAAGAAGGCGTTCAAATGTATTTGTTGTTTTGACTGCCGAAAATAAATAAAGGGTCTAACTGTTTAAAATATTGAATTTTTATCGGACCTTGATAGGTATCTAAATTTCGAGTTAACCCGACGTTTTGAAAGGAGTCAAAATCATGTTCAAGGATTCCATTACATTACATACATACAAACATACCTATGAAGCTAATAAAAGCATATTAAAGAAATACACTTACCATGTCTCTGAGAGTACCTTAATCTTAATTTTCAACTTCAATAGAAGATCTATCTATAAATTGTTTTAATTTGTATCATTTAGTGAACAATTTAAAAATAATTTAATAATTTGGATTTAAAATACCAACTAATCTCAAAACTAGCTTACAGATCATTATTAATTCAAAACGTCACCTACTTGTCTATTTTCAATTCATTACCGATATTACTCACGTTCATTGAATTTTGCCAAAGATATCATCTTTTGTAGGAGAGTGTATTTTAAACCCTTAGTACAATGTGCTTTCATTAATATCCTGCCTATTGAGACCCCGACCTCGTGTCTCAACTTGCAATACCAATGAGTTGTAGTAACCACTTAATACCAAGAAGGCCGTTACCGCGTTTCCCATCAACGCCTTTAAAAAAGAATTATAAAATACTATATAGATAATTTATTTTATTTATGATGTTTTATCTCTATATTAAATCGCAAGGAATATTGCAACTCAATCAATTGTAACCGGTAATCGTTGTTCATGGATACCAGAACTCTTCAAACAACATTTAAAGAAAAATATTTCATGGTACTCGCAACAACATTTTCAATCGTTCAATCGTACTGGATAAAAATACCTCTCGAAAGGCACTGTCAACAAAATCAGCGGTTCCGGATATTAAAGATGAACTTAGCTTCTTTTGGAATGATATAATCATAAAAAGGGATGGACGAATATAAAATAAATAATGTCTTGTCGAAATAAATGGACAAACCGTTGTGCCAGACTTTGTCGAACGCTTTTGCGACGTCGAGGAAAAGGACTCCCGTGTATAACGGCTTAGGTCAGTTAGGGCTTAAGCCCTACGAGAATGTGCTCCGCGAGGCGATGCACCTGTTGTACGCATGAGTGATTTGCGCGGAATCCGAATTGTTCATCAATGAGAATGCCCCTCGATGAACGAAGTTTCTAAGGCGTTTGTAGAGCAAACGCTCATACAGTTTGCCCAGAGACATGAGGAGGCTAATCGGGCGGTAACTTGTCGGATGGTTTTTGGGTTTACCGGGTTTATGTATGCCGATAACGTCCGCTTCTTTCCACACTGCGGAAAAGATACAGTTCGTCATAGCGGCATTGAAAATATATGCCAACATCACGATGAGCTGGGCGGGTAGAAGTTTAATAACGCGGTTAGATATACCGTCTGAACCGGGAGTCTTGCGAAGACGTAGGTCTTTGATTAGGTCTTCAGCTTCCATCGGGGTGACGGGCAGTAACGCATCCAAGGGTGGCAAGGAGGCTCTGCGTTCGACCTCACTATCTACTAATCCTACATGAACAAGGTTCCAGGATTGAGTACTGGGCGAGCACTGGGTTTGCAGTGTATCGACCAGCAGCTCTGCTTGTTCGTCGTCATCGAACGCCGCGAGTCGGCCTGAGAGGCCTACAAGTGAGGGCCGTTCGTGCCCCTAGCATTGCCAATGTCAATGAGTGACCTAGTTTCCTTGCCATTTATGCACATTATGGATTAAAGAACATACGTCATATTTTAAGGTATCTATTCATTTTTATATGAATTCAATGATTTTGTTACTCTAGCAAAGATAAAGAACTACTCTTCCAATCTTAAAAAAAAATCGTGTCCTAACCTGTCTTTATATTGACCACAACTGACACGTAATAATGCACATAAATCATCAGAAATCAGCTGATCTAAGAAAGTTTTTGAAATTACATTACATATACCCACGCATAATAAACTAGCATCTCATTTCTCAATCTAAATCGATTAATTATTTAAAATCTTATGTCACGAAATGATGCAACAATAAGTTACCTAATAATTTTCTACGTAAATTTATTCCTACTTTATATCTAACATTTGAAAATAATCTATGTAGCATACATATAAGCTATTTTATGGTGAATTAATGTTTACACAATTCAGTAGAAATGTTTTTTTTATTTTTACTTTTCTAATGTTGTTTTAATAGAATGCAATCTCAACTCTGTCAAAACTTATAGCTAATATTGTTGAAAAACTATGAAAACAGGCTGAGAATAGACGGAGCATGATGACCAAAAATAATTAAAATTCGTATTTCTAATTATATTTATGGCATTATGTCAATGACTGACTCGTTTTTTAGAAAGTTATATTAAAGTAATTATTACATTGAAAATGTAAAAGGTAAATCAAATCTAAAAATGTTCTAGATCGAATTAGAATGCTAACGTTCCATTTGGAACATCGAACTGAATATTCACGAAGAATTTTTAATTTAATATGAAAGACGAATGCTTGGGAGCTGATATTAGATTCATGTCTAATATACATATGTATAAGAGAGAAAAAAACTAAGTAAGTTTGTAATTTTATTAAAGGTATCTCTAAGTATATGTACAGCTAATGACTATCAGTTTTATTTACAAAACTATTGACTATTTGGCAATATCACGACTCAAAACATGTCGTTCACCAGCAGCAGCTTTTCTTCTTGTAGTGGGTGACGTGCTTAATGATGTGGAGGGGGTATGGCTTCCAGACGGGTACGGGTACCTCCACGTGCTTCTCAACTGGAACGTGCACCTTTTTGATGACTTCATAAGGCCTTTCCACAGGGATAGGCACCTTCCTGATGACCTCTACAGGGATGTGCTTGACGACCTCAACCGGGACTGGTCTCTCCACCTCAACGTGCTCCGTTTTGTATACTGGGTAGGGAACCTTCTTGACTACGTCCACGTGGACAGGGTAGGGTTGGGGAACTGGTACCTTTACCTTATGTGGCACTGGTACTGGTACGGGCTGAGGGAAGGCGACCTTGATGTGACGGGTCACTTCAATTGGGATGCGACGAACAACGTTTTGCACAACGGACTGGAGCTCGTACCTAGTGGAACCAGGGTCAGGACGGCCAACAGAAACGCTGGTTCCGATTACTCTAGGTTCACCGAAAGAACCGGAAGCACCGATTCCTCCTCCAATAGCCCCACCAGCACCAGCAAAGAAACCACCTTCTGCGCCTCCTTCCACACCACCGAACCCACCTTCGATTCCGGCACCACCTTCAAACCCTGCACCAAAACCACCGGCGTCAGGACCTGATAGTCCCGGTCCAGAAGCGATATCCGCAGCACCGAAACTTTCTACAGCACCTCCTCCTAACGGGCCGTTTCCAATATGACCGTGATCGTCGTGGTGCTCATGGACATCAATATGACCATGACCCTCGAAGTGAGCGTGATCGTCAATGTGCCCAGCATCGAAAGCGTGTCCGCCGTGTGAGTGCTGTTCAATTAAACTCTCTTCTAAAACAGTCGGACCGCTTACGTGAGCTTCTGTGATACCATTTATGTGTGGTGGACCGTATGTGTTTGAAGGTGGACCGAAAGAAGCTGACGACGCGCCTAATGCTGACGACACGTATGAATCATGTTGATCTTGTAATAGTCCAGCCTGTGCTCCGTACACTAAAGCAAAAATGAAAAACGCTTTCACCTGGAACAAGGATAAAACGAAAATTTAAAACTTAAGAATACAATAAAATTTATAGAGCTTTTCAGTTTTTTATCAGCATCAACTCACAACAAACGCCATGGCTTTTAGCTAACCGCTTTGAAGCCAGCTAAGAAAAAATTTGTTGCTGTCCTTTCCGAGTCTCGGTGGTTTGTGATGTGATAACGGATCGCGCCACATATTTATACAGCACGCTGTATCGAACGACACTCTTGAATAAATTACTTCGAGCTGGTTATCTTAGACGCTTGGTACGTCAGTAAATACTAAAGTATAAAAAAAAATTAGTTATGCTAATCTGGACTCTCGATCTTCCTTCATAAGACGTTATGTTACATGATTATTCAAATATTTAAAAGTATATTAACAAACGGAACTAACTTTTTAGATATAGAAAACTAGAGACGACATAATGAAAACAAATGCTTATTGCAATTTAATTAATCAGCAATTATGTATTGAGCTTCGATCAACAATGGCACAAAGTACAATATGATTTATTTCATTGAAATACTTAACAAACTCAGTTCAAATAGCAATATTATCACAGTTCCCCGTAAACTGGTTAAATTAGGGAGTATTTGTTTAGGAAAGTATCTGAGCACATATTATATTATGTGTACCATATTAGCTTTGGCTGTCTATGAAATCAGATGAGATAAAATTAAACAAGAAATTTACAGCATTACTCTTTTTTATTTTCTTGTCATTAGATGGGTAGGACGAGCTCACAATTCTGATGCTAAGGTAAGGCTTCCGATGCCCACAAATAGCGACTTTAAAGCATAAATCGAGTATAGAATAATGCCTATCTTCCGATTCAGATCAAATGGTACGAATGCTTCAAGCGAATGCTCTGGAAGTAGGTGAGATAATAATAAATCCCGTGCAGATTTATATTACACTTAATTTTCAGTAAAATTAGGGGTGATTCAGGAGCTTTTTGTGAGCAAGAAAGTAGTTGAAAAGAGAATTATGCATTAGTTCTATCTACCACCTAGTCGCGAAGTAATCATATGTTCCGTCTTGGAGGGCGGTAATGCCGTTACACAACACATCTCAATTAAACTTTTTGTTTCAACGTGGGGGCGGCATTCACGCTCCGATGTCTTCAGGCTACGGTAACCAATTAAAACAAAATGGCCGAGTGTTCTTTCACTTACATATTATTATTTTTTTATTTATTGCTTAGGTGGGTGAACGAGCTCACGGCCCACCTGATGTTAAGTGGTTACCAGAGCCCATAGACATCCACAACGTAAATGCGCCACCCACCTTGAGATATAAGTTCTAAGGTCTCAGTATAGTTACAACGGCTGCCCCACCCTTCAAACCGAAACGATTACTGCTTCACGGCAGAAATAGACAGGGTTGTGATACCTACCCGTGCGGACTCACAAGAGGTCCTACCACCAGTAATTGCGCACATTAGAATTTTGTGGCTTTGATTTTTATTACACGATGCTATTCCTTCACCGTGGAAGTCAATCGTGAACATTTGTTAAGTACGTATTTCATTAGAATAATTGGTGCCCGCCAGCGGGATTCGAACACCGTTGCATCGCAAGATACGAGTGCACCGAACCTCTTATCCTTTAGGCCACGACGACTCCATGTAATAAAAAATACTTATGCGATTTTGCGTAATGGTGTCTCCTAGTCAATACCCCAATAGGGTATTTATTCAGAGTAGAGGATCCTTTGGCAAACAAAAACTTTAATCTTTAAGTAAACAAATAAAAACTAGCTTTAAGTATTATATCATTCAACTAATTGAACAAAAAAACTTAAAAAACCATTAGAATTTAACATAACAAATGTCACGTTCTACGCCAAAGGCAAAGACACCTACGAATTCTAACGAAGCTACCATTCCATCACCTATGAAATAGATTCACGGATGCTCAGAGTTAGGAGTTCATCAAAAATGTTATAAATCGTACTCAATCATAAAAACCCTATTTAAAACGATGTATAAAGATAGAGAGCGGCTTCCATATAAGTATCTTAGGGATTGATCATTATCAACGGTGACAAGTAAGCGAACTACTAGTTCGCAATTGTAAGATGCAGCAAAACAAAAACAATTTAAATTATGTAAGGAATTTAATTCAATTTTTGAGATTTTAGTTTGCTACATTTACTCCAGTCTTTCAAAACTTAAAATGAATTAAAAGCAGCCAAAAACACTCATTAAAGGTGGGTAAATAAATGTCATAATTGAAAACTATTACACAAACTGATTCATTAATTTATATCTCATGTTAATCATTTAGGATTACAGAAATAACGTGATGAGATATCGCTTTCTTTATGACATTGCCTAATAGATAATAAAAATAGGGCGCGCTTCGTTGACCCACAAATTAACATAAGATTTAACTTTGTCAAACATTTCTGTCGATTTGCACAATAATATAGTTGAACTACTTATAGTAGTATGCAATAAAATCGAGAATCTAGAATAAAACAGAAACTATAAATTTAAATATGTACAGAAAAAATGATTGTGAAACGTATTATGCTATATTAATACATTTGATAATTAATATTAAATAACATATCTAACTCGTGACTTGCGGAAATTTATGAAAAAAAATTTCAATTACTAAATAAATATAATTTAAAATAAATGTCATATTTATCAAGAACTATTTACAACCACCATTATTTCTTGTAATTGACTGGAACTGGAAGTTTTTTTTATTAAATCTGATGGACAAAAAAGCACACGATAGAAGTATACAACATGAGTATTCCTACCCACTTTTGGTCATTGAAAAGGTTCGCTTTTTGTCAAGCAGACAGAAAGTCTAGCAAGATCAATTCTCTAACAATATTTTAACAGAAGAAGCAGCAAAAACATTGAGTACCAATCTTTACCGCTTTTATACCAATTCGTGTGTGGTTTTTTGGGTCTTAATCTCAAGTCCTAACTAATAGGTACGTTTTAGGATCAATAACTTACAGTATACACAATTATTTGAAATGTTCTAAAATATTGGTTATAATACATTAAACTGCTTTATGCGTATTACCACACTTTGATTTCAATTTGAAGTTGCGTAGCGTTCGTCGATAAACTACTTATAAATAATTAATAAGTCGCAACGGAAACAACTAATTGACAACAACCTTTGACCTCCTTGAAGAAAATGTGTCCCCTCTATAAATTTTCATTTTTAGAGGGAACACAGCTCTTAATTTTATTTACGACCGTTTGGGCAACTGTTGCATAAAACCAAACCCTACCGTTTATCAATTTAAATATATGTATATCATATTATAATTTCCGTGCAATCGATTTCTTCACCTCGATTCGTTTGATTCGTGTGAATTTATTATTTAAAATAAATGCGGGCCGTCTATTCGGTCGCCAAATTTAGTAGTTTCCGGTTTCCATTTTTACTTTGTTACATAATACCGATAAACACCACGACCCAAATTTTAAATTTCGGTCCTATGACTGATAGTTGTTTCTCGTGAAGTATTTTTATTTGATTTAATAATCAAGTTTCACTTTCACATCGTTTATTATAGGAACTATAATAAATTATCTGCCATAATGACTTCTATTAACCGATTGTGTTTGGGCGTTATATGTACATACAGAGTATTATTTACTTTTAAAAACGAAGACAGTTCATATTTGTGACCCTTAATAAGTTTTCATTTTATGACTTAGGTTTTTTTACAAATGACTCGCGAAATAATGAATACGGAAGGCACTTCTACCATACGTTATTTTACGGGCACGTAGAATATGATCTTATTAAAAGGTTTGTGCCTCGTTAAGTTAAAATAGTTATAATGTTTTCCGTTATCTACGTGGAATTAGTTCACGTCCATTTCGCCCTCGGGAAAAACGAGTCTATCTATTAAAGTCAATCATAATTATTATTTTCCATAAATACTTGTACATTATAAATTATCTAACTACTGCTGGTAGAGCATCTCGCGAGTCAGCACGGATAGATAGTATAGATACCACCGTCCACCACACTACCTATTTCTGCCATGAAGCAGTAATGCGTTTCGGGTTGAAGGGTAGGGCAGCCGTTGTACTGAAAAACTGAAACTTTAGAACTCATGCCTCAAGGTAGGTGGCGGAATTTACGTTTTTGATTTATATGGGCTCCGGTGACCGCTTAACACCGGGTGGGCTGTGAGCTCGTGCACCCATGTCGTCAATAAAAAAATTAAGTAATAAAAGCTAACAAGATTATTGAATATCTCATAATTCTAGATAAATCTAATAGAAGCCGCAAGTGTCACACACAATACACATGTATTATAAACTTAAAAAATATTGTATATTTTAAATCATTATTAGTACTTGTCGTCGGAGTAGTTGCGGAGAACTATCGGCATTTCAATTTAATTACACCATGAGCAACGGGCAGAATATACCAACATTTTGAGTGGTATATATGAAAAATATAATACCTTAAATATCTGTATGTAAATATGTATTTCTAAACATTGAGTCTACATTAAACAACCGGCCAGAAATAATAACATTTACGCATATAATAAATAGCATCACACGCAGACTTTTTTGCTGTTCTTGTTCATATTAGCTCATAGATGTTGTAGCGTACATACCGTTACTCACCTTGAGAAATGAGCATGAAAATTCAATTCTACTACATTTAATACTAAGGTAGTATTATAGTACTATAATACTAGTTAGTTGAAGTGAAATTACTCAAAGAGTCTAGCTTTTAAGGAGTCCCAGCGAGCTTCGGATTGCTTGGAAATTCATTGAGCAGACAGCCTCACGACCGATCCGTTACTGAGTAGTTCTACAGTCCATAGACATCATAACGCAAATGTCACCTACATGGAAACGTGAGGTCGATTCTCAATTGCTTTGCCTCAACTACGCCAAATCGGGGTATTTTCAATTTATGGGCTCTCACAATTTACTCTCTAAAACCACTCCAAATATGTCTCATCACTTAAATTGTGACGCATGTTTTTGAACATAAACTTAGGAGTGAACGAACGTATGTAGTACATTAGGTATCGGCGAGTGTGTGCTTGTTACTTTTCTTCATTACTAATTATAACTTCCTCGATTTTTAACAAATCAGCGCAATTCGAAAATCTGTTGGTTTATGTTGTCGTGTTGTTTATTGAAGAAAGGTACGAATTATTATTATGCTCTGCAGAAATGTAAGTAATTCAGGTTTCTATATTCTGTCTGTGTCTTATCAACATCAGGACATTACGTTTGGACACCGATAATGAAATTAATTTACAAGATTTCTATCACTGTGTGTTATAATAAGTAAAAATACTTAACGTGAATTATTTGATACAAATAATTACGGTCTTGAAAATGGGTTTTTTAATAAAAAAATAAACGAAAATCTTTGGAAATCTTTTTTTTATTTTAAAGTAATAAAAACCTACATTAATATTTACAATACAAAAGAATATTTAACCCGTAGGTTGTTTTACCTAAATTAATGACTTAGTTATCACCCTAGATTGCAGCCTCTCGATGACCTGTTACAAGAAATGCTCACAGAAGACCGGACTAGGAATGGTAATGAATATTGATGAGGTAGAAGATGACCTTAAAAGGTCGTTTACCAGCCGGACCAGCCGTGGCTGTGGTGGTGACTGACGTGAGCCTTGTGGTGGACAGTCTTCACTACTGGAACTGGGTATGACTTCACAATGTGCACTGGAACCTTGATGAGTTTCACAATTGGAACTTCAACTATTTTTTCAACAGGGACTGGATGATCCACGGGTACTTCTACGACCTTCTCAACTGGAACCTTAATGATCTTCTCTACGGGATAAGGCACTGGCCTATCGACTTTCACGTGTTGGATTTTTACTACTGGCACTGGGATTTTCCTTATGACGGGAACTTGAACTGGGTAGGGATGGGGCACGGGAACTTGGACGGGGTGAGGTACCGGAACTGGCACAGGCTGAGGCACACGGTGGGTCACTTCACGGTATACTTCATAGGGTTCCTCACGAATGCGATACTGCGTAGGAGCTCCATGGTTGTTGGCGAGTCCATGGATCTCATCAATAACTGGTGATTTGAGACCCGCAGGAGGTCCATCACCGCCGGGGAAGATACCCTGAGGTCCACCAATGGCACCTCCGAAGCCACCTCCTGCGCCACCGTTAAATCCACCGAATCCAAATCCACCACCATGGCCTCCCCCTATTAATCCAGCCCCGGAGAAAGTAGCAGAAGGCAGCGAACCAGCTGGGAAGCTGCTGGGTGCAAAACTAGATCCACCAGCGCTTGGAGCAGATAGGCCTATTGGCGCTGTCTCAATATTGGCGATATGGTGATCATCGTGGTGTTCAAGAGTTGCATGGTGATCGTGTTGGTCAAAACCAGGTTTGGCGTAGGTACTGCTCAAAAGGACGACTAAGTACATAACTTTGGTCTGAAATAAAATAATAAAACTTACAAAAAATTGCCAGGAGGCCAAAGATTTTTTTACTGGTGGTAGGACCTCTTGAGAGTCCGCACGGGTAGGTACCACCGCCCCACCTATTTCTGCCGTGAAGCAGTAATGCGTTTCGGTTTGAAGGGTGGGGCAACTGTTGTAACTATACTGAGACCTTAGAACTTATATCTCAAGGTGTGTGGCGCATTTACGTTGTAGATATCTGTGGGTTCCAGTAACCACTTAACACCAGGTGGGCCGTGAGCTCGTCCACACATCTAGGCAATAAAAAAAATTAAAAGATTTTTTAACTTTATGGTTAAATACTTACAATAGTAGCCATTTCGATTAGCTAAGCGCTGGCTACTCAATCGAACTTGTATTCGCTACAACAAGCGCAGAGTTTGTGTAGACTCGAATACTGACTTCATATTTATATATCGGATTCTGAGACGGCCTGTGGGTCACTAAGATACCGAAATTGAGAGTTCAAAACAGGTTTATTATACATCTTTCTTTTTCTAACGTGCGACGGAATAAATTATATTATACTAATTTATTTATTACCTAACATCTGATCAGTATGTGGTGTTTCTTCGTGGTTCATAGTTTGATGGTTTCCAAATATAGCACAAAATTCATGGTCCGTCAAATTAGAAAAATACGTTAAAAGTTAAACAACGCCTTTTTTTNGAGAGTTCAAAACAGGTTTATTATACATCTTTCTTTTTCTAACGTGCGACGGAATAAATTATATTATACTAATTTATTTATTACCTAACATCTGATCAGTATGTGGTGTTTCTTCGTGGTTCATAGTTTGATGGTTTCCAAATATAGCACAAAATTCATGGTCCGTCAAATTAGAAAAATACGTTAAAAGTTAAACAACGCCTTTTTTTTACGAAAACAAAATTTTGTATCGACGAATTTTTGTCATTGTTAAAGACAACTTCATCTTAATTTATGTATCCTAATATTATTATGAGCAACGATTAATTGTGATGAGATTCCACCATACTGCGTATTTCTATCGTGTCGGTTTTCCGGTTTGAAGGGTGGGGCAATCATTAAGCAGTAACAACAGTACAACTGAAACTTTGACGTTAACTGTCAAAGTGACGTACACATTGTCATGTCTTCTTCTACTTAAACTGTTATGTGTAAATGTTTTCAAGGTTAATGAATAAATTATTATTATAATACTTCTCTCCCTTATCCCACATTATATGGGGTCGCAGATCGTTTTATCATACTGCCTAGCTATTGCCATAAGTTTTACGACCGATCGCCTGTCTAACTTCAACCCTTTTTAGTTACATCTCCAGTAGTTGCACTCCATTGCAAAGTGTCATAGTGAGTGAGATTTTCTGTTTCTTCTTTTTGTGTTTTTTTATTTTTTATTTCAACTATTTTTGGTTCAACGATTTTCATTTTATTATTATGATAAAGATTTACACTAAAATTGAAATTGATAAATATAAAAAATATTAAATTATGACATTTTAGTATATATACATAGTTTTTCTGTATTTTCATTATTACATATGCCACTTTGTCGTGCCTATGGGATATAAATAACCCATTAAAACCTGAAACATAATAATAATAACAAAACTTTCTAAGTAGGGTCAGCACAGATTTAAGAGAAAAAAATATAATTCAATTAAATACACAGTTTTTTAGTTAGATTTTAAAGTCGACCGTTTGAAGCAGTCACCTAAGACAGAAATTTCTAATGTGAAAGGAAATAAAGTCCAAAATATGGCTGTCGGAAGATGTCGAAATTTTTTTTTATTTTTTTTTTATTGTTTAGGTGGGTGGAAGAGCTCACAGTCCACCTGGTGTTAAGTGGTTACTGGAGCCCATTGACAGCTACAACGTAAATGCGCCACCCACTTTGAGACATAAGTTCTAAGGTCTCAAGTATAGTTACAGCGGCAGCCCCACCTTTCAAACAGAAACGCATTACTGCTTCACGGCAGAAATAAGCGGGGTGGTGGTACCTACCCGCGCGGACTCTCAAGAGGTCCTACCACCAGTAATCCGTAGTATCCGTAGAGATAACCTACGTCGAACATTGAAACGTTATGTCAAATCTCAATGCATCTCCAGTGATTGCTTACAACCGAGCGACCCGTGTCTGTGTTCGTCAATAACAATATGACTGTTAGATCTCTGGGCATATAAAACCTTAGACTACATTAAAATACACACAGTCTTTCTTAAGTGTGCGTTATAATATGTTCCCGATCCTGCGGACAGAATGGAAAGCAGTCGACGTCGCCCCAAACACGTCATTTCGGATCCTCCCGATCCACTAACGGTGTTTTTAGGTAGCTCAAGCACCGGTCATCGTTCTCATCGAACCCGTCGCTTGCGACGAAGGGCTCGACGAGTAAATTAACCCTCAGACACAGCCCACTGAGTTTCTCGCCGGATCTTCTCAGCGGGTCGCGTTTCCGATCCGGTAGTAGATTCTGCGAAGCACGGCTCTTGCTAGGGTTCGTGTTGAGCCCCGTGAGCTCACCTACTAGTTAAGGTTACGCTGAAATAGCCTCTCAAGGTTATCAGCTTAGGTAGGAAAAAAAAAGTTATATGTTCTTATTCGTTGATTCATTGAGCAAGTCGCGCACCGCCTGTTATAGTTTTAATGATATTCTTCAGGAAACCTCCCTTGAAATGTCCACACTTGTAGACACAAAGTGTCAAAACAATGGAACGAGTGGCGCGCGATCGCGTTGGCCGCTAATGGATAAAGAAACAATTACGAAGGCGTTTTAATTAAATAAACAGAATAATCAAACAAAGTTTATTCCTGCATAGCACAGTTTTTACAGAATAATCAAACAAACTTTATTCCTTCATCGCACAGTTTTTACGGAATAATCAAACAAACTTTATTCCTTCATCGCACAGTTTTTACAGAATAATCAAACAAACTTTATTCCTGCATCGCACAGTTTTTGTTCGTTGTCGTGTTCGCCCAATAATTGAAATTCCCATCCCACTCAATTATCATTAACACCCAAATATAGATTCATGTCTTAGATTAGATTTTGAGTTTTGTTTTGTAGTTAACGCTTTTAAGAACAGTTAATTTACAATTAAAACTACTTTTTACCTAAAACTCATCAATAGCTAAATACTAAAAACAGAAAGGAAATCTATTGAAAAGCACGGGAGAAAATGGTATTTAACTGTTTTTGTCTTTGGCTATTTAGAAATAAATAACTCAGTTTATTGTTCTGGACAATGGTCAGCTACTATTTAATTACTTTAAGATGACTAATTAAAGTAAACAAGAATAGTGAAGATCTAATGAGATCGAGAAAGCGAAACACACGCAACTCAATGCATTGTTTTCATTATACGAGGTAAATGACATTTATTGTTCAAACGTAAATAGAATATACTTATTCATTTTAGGTAATTTGATTAGAAACAACTCATCTTTTCAATCTTACGAATACTATTGGTGTTTGTTGGCTTGTTGGTTGGCTATAAGAATAACAGATTTTGTCTATGCTTTTAACAAAATATTTTATTGACACAGTATCTTAGAATGCTATTGTCTTTGAGGCTTTACATGAAGTTCAGCGTTAAATCAAAAGTTAATAATCAATCAGACGTAATTACGTAGTTAGACTTAGTCGTTAAATCTGTTTAGATACTATTCTTTTTTTGTCTTGTCAGATTTTCAAAAACAATGAAACAAAACAATCACGGAATTATCAGTCCCTAATTCATTTAACGGCCGTCTGGTGTAGTGGTAAGTGACATGGTCACTACACAAGGGGGTTACGGGTTCGAATCCCGCCAAGGGAAGATATTTGTATGATAAATATAAAGTCTTTTCCAGGGTTATGGATGTATATTAAATATATGTATGTGTATAATAAAAATCTTACATTTATTTCCGTTATCTGGTACCTGTAACACAAGTTCTTTACGAACTTATCACGGGACCAGTTAACGTGGCGTGATTGTTAGTAAATATTTATTTATTTATTTATTTATTAAACACATACAAAAAAAAAACTTAAATTTATGTTAAAACCGTCCAACGCTTTGTTAGCTGACTATCGCTTCTCTTATTAATACATATACATAGTACATATGTGTGCAGCCGAGTTCACACAGCACATCAGCTCACTAGCCCACTTAGGGCAGAGCCGATTCGCATCATGAATGCTGCCACACAGCTTGAGACATCGAGTCTTTTAAATAAGTTGTATTATAAAGAGCTAGCCCGAACTCATGACAGATTCGGAGCGGATATAGGTAGGGTGGTGATACCTACCACCTGATTAAGTGGTTACCGGAGCCCATAGATATCTACACCGTAAATTCCGCCACCTACCTTGAGATATGAGGTCTAAGGTCTCAGTTTTTACAGTACAACGGCTGCCCCACCCTTCAAACCGAAACGCATTACTGCTTCACGGCAGAAACAGGCAGGGTGGTGGTACCTACCCTTGCGGACCCACAAAACGTCTTACCACCAGTCATTACACAAATTATAATTTTGCGGGTTTGGTTTTTATTACACGATGCTATTGAAGGAATAGGAGTGGAAGTCAATCGTGAGTGATTAAGTACGTATTTCATTAAAAAAACCTACGTAAACCTAAACACTATCGCTAAGCATATGAAAGTATGAAGTCCACTTGTTGGTTTAAACTAATCGCTTAGTATTAAAATCTTAGATCATACAGTATAATTTTTGTTTTCATGCTATCCGTTATCCGTTACATATGCTATGCTATCCGTTACATAATAACCGAGTCTTATTTTCATTAAAATATGCAACATATGAAATTGCTAATATAAAATTAGAGAAAACCTAACAAGTAATTTAATCACCTTCGGACGTGTTCTGTGTGATGTCATCTTCTGTCGCTATTTTAACATGGGTAATTAAAATTTACTAGTATAATTTGTAATTTAACTTTTAATTTTGTTCAACTTTTTTTATTGCTTTGTTGGGTGGACGAGCTCACAGCCTACCCGGTGTTAAGTGGTTACCAAATCCCATAGACATCTACAATGTAAATGTGCCACCCACCTTGAGATAAAATTTCTAAGGTCTCTAAGTATAATTACAACGGCTGCCTCACCTTTCAAACCGAAACGCATTACTGCTTCACGGCAGAAACAGGCAGGGTGGTGGTACCTACCCGCACGGACTCACAAGAGGTCCTACCACCAGTAATTACGCAAATTATAATTTTGCGGATTTAATTTTTTTTACACGATGTTATTCCTTCACCGTGGAAGTCAATCGTCAATGTAATTACCAATTTCCACTGATTTTATGGTGGTACTATGATATCTTACTGTGGGATAATACCGCGTATGTTGACTCATTCGAACAATCTAACGCA